CTAAATTCTATACATGAGAGAGATAATCTACTTTCCAGTCTGAGGTCCATGGTAAAAAAAAAACCAAACCACTCCTACATATTAGCTTATAAGCTAATTAGGCTAGGGAGTCCCTTAAAGCTAGGTCATCCCCCAAGTCAGTGGTAGAAGGCATTTTAGTTGTCTGGTATCTATCCTTTGTAGAATATGAAGTTCCTTGAGTACCAGACCTGACATGATAAGGCAACATCTCCAGTTTGCCACTCCTTCCTACCACTCCAAGGAGTGGGCTAGTGTGGAGTGGGAAAGGGTGGCTTTTCAGAGTTCAGGGAGACACTCCACTGATGCTCTCTCCCTCAGAACTGAAGGAGAGATTAGGCCATTGACAACAGCCTTCAGTATTCATTAGTCCCACTCTGCCCACTGAAGCCTGGCTCTGACAACAAACCGGACAGAACAGTATACAAAGTGGCATAGCATAGGGGGTAATATACCATCTTTAGAGTCAGACTTCCCGAAACTAAATTCTGACAGACCTACCTGTCAATTATGCAACCTTGGACAAGTGACTTAACTTCCCTCCACCTTATAAAACGGGTAATAGACAACCCCTACTCCCCAAATGTTATTGTGAAGATTGAGATAATGTATGTAAAGAGATGACCCTGTCCCTAACATATAGTAAGCATGCAAACATGAGCTATTACAGGTATCCCTAACTATCTTAACCCTTTACTCTCTCTATGCAGGACAGAAACCTTACAGATCTGGTCAAACTCTTGGTACTTGTCATCTGAGAATCAAAAAGTAAAGCAATTAGCATAACTTGGTATTTCTTATGATCTGACACCTTGCTATGTGAACCCAGAAATCAAGTAGATTTGGGTTGAGAGGGACCCCCTCATTAGTCAAATAAAATTGATCATTCTTTTAAACCACCAATGATAATAGTGTATTGGGCCTATTGTACTATAATTCAGTCAGGGACCAGGTAGTCCTGGTTCTTCCTAGCATTAATATAATAAACCCATTCAACTACGTGTTGCTCTTTAAATCCAATAAATCCTAAGGAGAATCTAAAAAGGTCCTAAAGCTAGGAATAAGACTGCAAGCCAAATTAATCTCATCAGCAAACAAATTCCAGAAAGACAGGAAAGGGAAATCAAGTTGAACTAGAAATTCTATATTTATACAAGGGTTTTGTTTCAGCACTGTTCTAGAATAAGAAACACAAGTCATCTCAAGAATTTAAGGACAGAAAGTGGGAATTTATTAAAGAGAAAATGAGAAAGGACTATTTTTTGGTAGTAAGGTTTTGTTTCCTTAGCAACAAGGCCAAAGACTTAGCCAGAGGCTTAACAGAAAGAACCTAAGTAAGGGGAGGACTTTTGCCCCCAGAACAATAAAGAAGGTAATGGGCACCAACCTTCTTTTATTAGAAAGTGGCTTGTCCTTGTGAAGCGCTGTTAAAGGAGCAAGTGGACCCAGTCGTAGCTCCCTCTGCCCCCACTGTGCCCAGGAGGTTTGGCGCAGGGACCCCCTAACAAGCCTTATAGCAGCTTGCGTCAACATGGCAGAACACCTTGGAACTAATGATTACCACCACCTAACAGGAAACACAGAGATGTGGTGTCAGATGGGACAGACAGTATACATAAATGCAACCAGCACTCCTACTCTCATGGGTTGGGGGAGGGGGAGGCTGCAAAACTTTTTTGTGTCCCAATTTACTTATGTGACAGCAGCCTTTACTCTGCTGCTACTGGACTTGACAGTGTTCTCAGTCCTGGCTATGGTAAAAAGAGGCATATCTGGGGTCAAAAGTCAACAGCAAGTAAATCAATGGCTCACAGGTATAAATGATCACAACATTCTAGAAAACGGGAGACAGGATCTAAAGCAGTGTTTCTGAAGCCCCTGACATGGTTTCTCTTTTGGCAGTGGAAAGTCACTGTCAACTGCAAACTCTAGAGGAAGCTAAAAGCAAGCCACACAAAAGCATCTGAGTCAAGGATAAGACTTGTTTGGAGCTCTAGGAATAAGGAGGAAGGGAGAATTTCAAGAAGGGACTTAAACTGCATTATGTTTATATGTTAACACTGGACGGCAACAGAATTACAGGGATCATGTTCATTAGTGCATTCAAACAAATTTGGCCATTTATTTGGAAATGAGTCACCTCTCAGGCAGCCCATCTGTTTTTTAAAGTTGGAGAAAGTAACTGGCACAGAATGATACTCACTAAAGATTCAAACCAAGAAAGTTCCAAAAAAAAAATAAGAAATAAAAAAGTTTGCATAGTTCCAGCACAGTGCTTGACACACACAAGTTGCTTTAAAAAGTGGTAGCTATGATTAATCTAAGCAAAGTCAGTAGATAGGAACTGGCCAGTTTCCTCAACTTATCTTTAAATCATACTTTCAACTGGAGACCTTGCTTAGGAAGTATCTGTGATTTACAACCCTAAAGTTCAATTGTGGAAGTAACAGATCAAAGTCCAGTCAATCTTCCCAAAGACAAGTCCAAGACCAGGTTCCAAACATTGGAGATCCATCAGGCACTCCCAGGACAACATATTAGGGTGTTATCAGACCATAAACTGAGGTATTTCCTTTTTCATTTTTCTAGAATATTTAAATAAACTCAAAGGACACAAAAAACCCCCATTAATTTTTACTAGTTGAGTGCAATTCCATCAGGGCTCAGAAGAGAATTGAGCCTTAATGCACTAAAGCAGCCGTTACATGTAATGAATGTTTTACATGTAATGTATTAGGAGAGAATGCTTTTCTCCTAATGCTTCTGGAATGGTTCTATTTTATTTTTAGAGAGGGAGAGGGAGGGAGCAAAACATTAGTGTGCAGTTGCCTCTCATGTACTTGCTACTGAGGACCTGGCCTGCAACCCAGGCATGTGCCTGACTGGGAATCAAACCGGTGACCCTTTGGTTTGCAGGCTGGTGCTCAAACCACTGAGCCACACCAGCCAGGGCTGGAATGGTTCTATTTATTTTATGTCCCATTCTTGGGAATATTGAGAAAAGTCACTCAAATCGTTATCTGTGTTCTGTGAAGAACCCCGGTTAAGAGGGAGTGTGTAGTATGTAGAGAATATAAGACAGTTAAAAAGGCTGGCTCATCTGGATTTATTTATATTTACCTTTACACTCCAAGGATTTGGGGTGATTAACAAAGTTATACTCAGCAGCTTGGTGTGCCTAGTTGAATAAGACAGTCCCTACTGCAAGACATTGGTCATCCCCTCAATACTCACAGGCCCTTTGAATAACCTCTGTGGCTAGGATAGAACTGAATGCTTTAACACTGGGTTAGCTAGAAAGCTTTAGTTTTTTCCCATACAATGGTTCTACTAGTGCTTAGTTGTTTTTAACTTTATTTGAAACAATTTTTTGTATTGTGACAGCTGTAGTATCAGCATGCATTAAAAAAACATTGGTGAATTTTTGTGCAGCCATTTTAATACTGAAGATGGAAGGAAATCAGCAATATTTTCAGTGTATTATACTTTATTATTTCAAGAAAGGTAAAAACCCAGCCCTGACTGGCGTAGCTCAGTGGATTGAGCGTGGACTGTGAACCAAAGTGTCGTAGGTTCGATTCCCAGTCAGGGCACATGCCTGGGTTGCAGGCCACGGCCCCCAGCAACTGCACATTGATATTTCTCTCTCTCTCTCTCTTCCTCCCTTCCCTCTCTATAAATAAATAAATAAAATCTTAAAAAAAAAAAAAAAAAAGGGGCAGATGTGTTTAACAAGTCAGAGAGTGTTTTCAAAAAAAAAAAGAAAGGTAAAAACCCAATTGAAATGCAAAAAAAGTTATGCAGTGTATGGAGAAGGTGCCGTGACTGATGGAACATGTCAAAAGTGGTTTGCAAAGTTTTGGTACTATTGACATTTTGGCCAAATAATTCTTTGCTGTCTTACGCACTGGAAGACGTTTAGAAGTACCCCTTTCTTAGCAGTAAGAAGCTATGAGCGGGAAGCCCAGATTCAAAATATCCAAATCAATAATGTTACTGATGAAAATGAAAAATGCCTTTTATTTTACAGAAAAAAAATTAAACGGACTTTTTGGCCAACATACGGTTCAGAATAGCCTAGTGAGGCCAAGGAAAATTAAGATCTTACTGAAAAGGTAGAGTAATTAGCCCTGGTTGGTGTGGATGGAGCGCTCTCCCGCGAACCAAGGGGTTGCTGGATTCCCAGTCTACATATGCCTGGGTTGCGAACCAGTTGGGGTGGGGAGAGCACGAGAGGCAATCACACAGTGATGTTTTTCTCCGTGTCTTCCTCCCTCCCTTCCCCTTTCTAAAAGTGAATAAATAAAATTAAAATAAAGGGGAAAGCTAGTGTATTTAAACCAACATTTCTCCGGCCTTCCTATTGGAGCGTAGCTCAATAGTAAAAGCCTTTCTCAGGAGTAAGTTCGCTTTCTAACCACCTTTCAGTTCTCCGCCTCCTCTTTATTACTGTTCAGTTACATTGTTGTTACATTGTTCAATTACATTTATTGTTGTCCCCATTTCCTCCCCATCGGCCCTTTCTTATTCCAGGAGTCCGACAGGTGGGGACCTTACCAGCCCCAAGTCCCATAGCAAGCTGGGGCGTGTAGTTTCGGGGCGTACCCGCTAAGTTCCTACCGAGCCCGCACACAAGAGAACCAGCAGGAAGGCCCCAGGCAACGCCGCTTCGGTCGGAGCCTAGAGACACTTCCTAGTCCAGACGTTCCGGCTGCAAAGGCCTTAGTGACCGCAGCGACACTTACTTTTTGCTCAGTTTTTCCTCGCCGCGGTCCACATTCACTTCAGGTCCCTGCAACGTAGCCATGCCTCCGGTGGCCCGAACTGAAAAGAACGAAGAGCATAGCGCAATTTCCAGGTCACCACCGGAAGCCCCGCCTCTTCCGGGGAGAGGGGGTGGTGCTCTGTGCGCTGTCGCCTGGAGGGGGCGGTGAAGGGTTTCGCAGCTGCCGCCGTTTCGGAGTAGGACCTCAGGTCTGTGAGTTTTCGGGGCGCTAGTTCTTCTGGCTCCTGGCGTCAGCTATGGCGGAGGCGATGGATCTGAGCAAAGACGTCAACGGGCCTACTCATTCCTCGACTCTGTTCGTGAGGGAAGATGGCAGCTCCATGTCGTTCTACGTGCGTCCCAGCCCGGCGAAACGCCGGCTCTCGACGCTCATCCTGCACGGCGGCGGTACCCTGTGCCGGGTGCAGGAGCCCGGGGCCGTGCTGCTGGCCCAGCCCGGGGAGGCGGCTGCCGAGGCCTCGGGAGACTTCATCTCCACGCAATACATTCTGGACTGCGTGGAGCGCAACGAGAGGCTCGAGCTGGAGGCCTATCGGCTGGGCCTGGCCCCGGTAGCCGACCAGGCACCGGAAACGAAGCCAGGCGCTCAGGCTGAGGGCGTTGCCCCCGAGTCGGAGCGGCAGCCGCCCACGGGACGGGTAGCCTTCACCGATGCGGACGATGTGGCCATCTTGACCTACGTAAAGGAAAATGCCCGCTCGACCAGCTCTGTCACGGGCAACGCCTTGTGGAAAGCGATGGAGAAAAGCGCGCTCACTCAGCACACGTGGCAGTCCCTAAAGGACCGCTACTTAAAGCACCTGCGGGGCCAGGAACATAAGTACATGTTGGGGGATGCCCCAGTGAGCCCGTCCTCCCAGAAACTCAAGCGGAAGGCGGAGGAAGACCCGGAGGCTGCCGATAGCGGGGGTGAGGCCTGCTGCTGCGAACGTGCGGTCGCTCTGCCTGCATCTGTGCTGGTGGTGGCGGGTCGTCTCACACCCTTCCTGTCTGGCGTCCATTTTCGCTCCTTTGGTATCACCCTCCGGCCCCTTCCCTCTTTGACATCGGGGTAAAATTGCAGTATTTCCTAATTTCACTTTCCTTTTCCAATAACTGGGATATTGCCATGGTCTGATAGTCAAATAGTACAAAAAATACCATAAAGTTCTCCCCTTCCAACCACCATTTAGCTGTCCAGTTTTCTTTCCCAGAGGCGATTTGGGGAACCAGCTTCTTGGGTATGTTTTAAGAGATATTTCAAAGACTCATCCTGTTTTGCTTTAGTAAGTCTAGTCATCATACAAAATTATTATTACTTCTAGAGAACAGGAGGGAAGGAGAGAAACATGGAAGGGTTGCCTCTCCCACGCATCGGGTGGCGGGATTGCACCTGCAACCTAGGCTTGTGCCCTGATTGGGAATCGAACCGTGATTTTATCTGCGACCATCTGCCGGCTTCAACCAACTGAGCCACACTGGCCAGGGCCAAAGTTATAATACTGACTATATTGTCTGTGATAGCGATTTTCAACCCTTGTGGGCATACGGTGTTCAGCAAGAATTTTTAGAACAATTCGTGACTATTTAGTCAGGAACACTGATGTCTTTTTCCCTTAGATTGTGAAATTAAAAAATGACAATAGCCAATACAATGATAGCCAGTGAGTGTGAATGAATCAAAATTATACCTACTTTTTGGTCAGATTGGCAAAAAATACATTTTTTGGCGTGCTGCAGAATTTTAGCAATTAGTTTACGTATGCCATGAGATGAGAACTGTTGAAAATTGCTGCCCTGTGCTGTACAGGACATCCTGGCGACTGACCTTTGAACCTCTCAATCTCCCTTACCTATTTTGCCTGTGTCTCCCATTCCACTCCTCTCTGGCAACCACCAATTTAAAAACATTTATGGTCAGTTAGATTCAGTATAAATTATTTTAAAGGCATGCCAGATCAGTTTAGTTTCTTGTTTTTGTTTTAATTGGTATTCACACAAGAGGGTTCTGGTCCACTGGAAGTTATTTCCTGGTCTCATGGTGAAATGAGTTTCTAACACGGTTGAAAATGTTAAGATTCAGGTGTGGTTTGTACTCAGTGCAAAACTTTGAAGATACTTCCTTTTATGTAATTATGGCTATTGACATTTCAAATTGGTAGACCCCCTTTTTTTTAAAGAGACATGCTCCCCCCAACTTTCCTTCTCTTCCTTATGTGACTATTCCTTGTAACAGTTGAAGTCTGGGGAGTCAAAGTCTGTTTCTCCTGTTCAGTATGCTTAGTAGAATTTTGTTTTTGGTAAAAGTGACATTTCAGATTTATTCATTCAACAGATATTTGAGTGCCAGACACTGTTATCCTGCTGGGATGTAACAATAAGTAAAAGTCCCTGTGGTCATGGAGCTTAACATGCTAGCTGGGAAGTGGTAAGTGCTATAGAGAAAAATCAGGGTAAAGGTTGGGGAGGAGGTCACCTTCTGTAGGGTGTTAGGGAAGGTGTTAGTTGATAAGCTGTTACTTGAGCAAAGACAAATAAGGAAATGAAAGTAAGCCAGGTAGTTATCTGAGAAAGTGTTGTGGATAAAGTGACTAAGTGCAGAGGTCTTGAGGTGGAGATAGGTTCTTGGAGAAACAAAGAGATCATGTGGCTGGAATGGAGTAAGCAAAAGGGGGAATTCTAGGAGAGGACAGGGCTAGGTGTAGGGGTGAAATAAGTCATGTAGGGACTACGCCTAGCCATTTGTGACTTGGGACAAAATTAGCCTGGATCCACCCAACTCAAAATGGTGTTTTGAAGATCAGATATGTAAATATAAAAATTAAAATCTTAAGATGACTAAGTAAGTGAATTTACTTTTTAATATTAGCATAGTGATAATCCTGAAACCAAGAAGACTAAGAAAAAGTTTTCTATTATTTAAAATTAAAAGCTTCTCATGATAAAGTCAGAGGACAAACTGGAAAAATAGTCCCAATACATTGCAACAGAGTTAGTTTCCTTAATGTCCAAAGAGCAGAACTTAATAACTAAAAGAAAAAAATAGTAGAAAAGTGAGCTAAAGAAATGGAACAAGAAATTTCCAGAAAAGGAAATAAGTAAATGCCAATAAACAAACACAGAAATGCTGTTATTAAATAAAAGTAAACTAGACCCTGAACAGAGGACCAGACAACTGATGCCTGGACTTCTGACCCATGGAAACTGTGAAATAATAAATGTGTCTTGTTTTTGTCTTTTTGTTTGTCTTTTTTTAAAAACAAAAGTAAACCAGAACAAGAAAATGTCATATTTTATGAATCAAATTGGCAAAAATTAACAAAATGGGTAATATTCAAAGTTAGTGAGGTATATGAAAACAAGTTCACACATGCATTAATAGAAGGAAATTGGTACTGTTTCTTTGGAGGGCATTTTGAAAACATCTAACAACATTTAAATTGTATGTTCCTTTAAACATGGCAATATTGCTTCTCGGAATTTGCCCTACCATGTTTACTCTGTACATAGAAAAAGGGTACACAGTGAAAAGTCTCCCTGCTACACACCCTTTCCCCTGGTTCCCCTCCCAGAGGCAACCACCACTACTATCCTTGTTATGTGTCCTTTTTGCTCATAATGGTACTAATACACTAGAAGTCAGTTTTTCAATTTGCTTTTTATTTTAAAGATTTTATGTATATATTTTTAGAGAGAGGGGAAGGGAAGGAGAAAGAGAGGGAGAGAATGCATGGTTGCCCCTCATGTGCCCCCAACTGGGGACCTGGCCCAAAACCCAGGCATGTTCTCTGACTGGGAATCAAACCAGCGACCTTTTGGTTGGCAGGCCTGCGCTCAATCCACCGAGCTATACCAGGCAGGGCTGCTTTTTTTAACTTAATGGTAGATCTTGAAGCCTTTGTGTCTGTGCATTGCTTTGACTTATTTCCATATTGATTGCATTACATTATGTGAATGAACCATAATTTGTTCATTTATTATAGAAAATTTCAAACATTTACAAAAGTGGTATAACAAACCGTATGTTCCCATTACCTAACTTCACCTGATTATAGCTGATGATTAGATTTTAAAAAATATTTATTCCTTTCGATCTAGACTTTTGAGATTATTTTGAAGCAAATGCCAGGCATTATACCGTTTTATCTATTTGAGCATATAGCTCTAAAAGATAAGTGTTTGTTTTTTTAATTACTATTATAAGATTTATATAAAAGAAAATTGACTTATTTTTGTGTAGAGTTCATACATTTAAAAATTTATTTTACTTTTTTTATTGTGGTAAAATATACATTACATAAAACTTACCATTTAGCCAGTTTTAGGTGTTCAGTGGCACTAAGTACATTCAAATTGTCAGGCAGCCATCACCACCATCCATTTCCAGAACTTTTTGACTTTCCAAAACCAAAACTCTTTATACATTAAACACTTTCCTCCGTTTCTCCCTCTTCCCAGCCCTTGACAAATAGCATTCTGCTTTTTGTCTATGAATTTGCTCTCTCTAGGTACCTTACATAAGTGGAATCAAACAACATTTGTCCTTTTGTGTCTGGCTTATTTCACTTAGTATAATGTGTCAGAATTTCATTCCTTTTTAAGACAAAAATATTCCAGTGTATATCTATACCACTTTTCATTTGTTCATTGATGGATGGACAATTGGGTTTGTTTCTGTCTTATGGCCATTGTGAATAATGTTGCTATGAATATGAGTATAGTAGTATTTGTCTGAGACCCTGCTTTCAATTTTGGGGGTAAAAACCCAAAAGTGGGATTGCTGATTTATAGGGTAATCTTGTTTAATATTTGGGGAACTGCCATACCATTTTTCAATTATGTGTTTTAATACATGTATAAATTTATATAAAAAAATCAGGATACAGAACTGTTCCATTACAAAAACCTCCCTCATTCTGCTCCTTAGTATTTTTGTTAAGTGGAAAAGAGCTTAGTAAAATCCTTGGAGAACAAAGAATAAAGGTGAATCAGGAGGAGGTTTAGCTTTAGGGGGCTCTCCTTTGTGTTGATGGTATGGTAGATTGTGGTGTACCCCTTCAGTCCAGCTCTGTCTTCAGTGGCTGGGAGAGCTGCCTTGCCCAAAGTCCTGTCATTTGAGGGCGACTAGTATCCAGTGACTGATCTATATACAGCTGTAAAATCTTGGCTTCCTTGCCCCAACTGGTCAACTTTGAAGGACCTTCCTAGCTTCAGTTGAGGCCTTGGTATTCTTTCAGAGCTCAACTTTTCTCTGCCCATCCTGCTTTCTTCTCTTCAGTGGGGGGTCTTCCCAGGTACACTCCCTAATGAAACCTTATGTAGTAACCTTCATCTTGGGATCTGCTCCCTAGAGAACCCAGTTTATTCCACAGTTAATTTGCAAATTCATCAATACAAGACAAAAATGAGTTAAGCTTGAAGAATATTTTTATTTTACATACCAGAACCTGGAAAAATTATCATTGGATAGTACAACTTTTCAGAAGCAAGAGTAGAAATTATTGAGCATGCATATATTGTGTTTTTCTTATCTTTTTGATCAGAAACAGATGTCTTCTAATGGAAAAAAAGTACAGGCTCACTTTTGACCAAAAGCTCACAAAGCATGCACTATATGTTTGTTTTCTGTAAAAGAGACCCATTCTAATCTAGTGCTATTCTTCTCTGTAATAGAACCACAGAATAAGAGAACTCCAGATTTGCCTGAAGAAGAATTTGTAAAGGAAGAAATCAAGGAGAATGAAGAAGCGGTCAAAAAGATGCTTGTAGAAGCCACCCGGGAGTTTGAGGAGGTTGTGGTATGTTAACTAGATTTAACTCATTTTTTCTGTACCTCCATTCTTCTTCTTTGAAATTGTTCATCCAGTCTACCCTTTTTATACACCCAAGTCCTGAAAGGTAAGAGAAGTTCAAGATGGAAGAAGAAAGTGGAAATTGGGACTGACCTATGTTCTAGGCATGTAGATTTTAATTTTTGGCAGGAGAAATTGAGGGGGAGAGTTAGAAAAGTTGGGGAGGAGGATTCTGAAACAGTATAAAGCATCCCATTTTGAGTACTTTGATCTCAGTACAAGTTTTTCAAAGTTAAGAATGGATTTATCTTTTAAAAATTGTTTTTATGCTTCTTTTAAAAGATTAATTTTTTTAACCAAGCAGATTTAGCTTTTTGTGTATTTAGAGCTTCGTGGGAAATTTTTAGCTCTTCCATATTCAGTCTAGCTTCTAATACTCCGTTGGAATCCCATATTTAACCACTGTTATAGAGAAAGACAGGAGCCTTGAGTAAAATAATGAGTAATTGGAAAAAAAGCCAAATTATATGTGCATATCTTCTCCAAGGGAAAAGATATTCATGTACATATATTTTTTCATATTCACTGTAGCTTCTAATGTTCTATTGGAACATCATAGTTATTTATACATATACACACAAAAATGCACATATGCACCCCACCTGCACACACACTCTTCCTTACCCTATCACATGCATGCGTACATACATATACACACACATCCAAGACGAATAAACATAAGAAGGAACATGGCATGTTAGAGGAACCGAAGGAAGTCTAGTGTGATTGGAGTGCAAAGGGCATGAAGGCGGTAGGTGGGAGAGACCAGATATTGCAAGAGTGTTTGTAACTGGGTAGTTAGACTGGTTTTGTTTATCACTTTCTTTAGGTGGAGGAAAGCCCTGATTTTGAAATACACATAACAATGTGTGATGATGATCCACCAACACCTGAGGAAGACTCAGAAACACAGCCTGATGAAGAAGAAGAAGAAGAAAAAGTTTCTCCACCAGAGGTGGGAGCTGCCATTAAGGTTATCCGACAATTAATGGAAAAGTTTAACTTGGATCTATCAACAGTTACACAGGCCTTCTTAAAAAATAGTGGTGAGCTGGAGTCTACAACATCTTTTTTAGAGTCTGGTCAGAGGGCTGATGGGTATCCTATTTGGTCCAGACAGGATGACTTAGATTTGCAAAAAGATGATGAGGATGTCCGAAATGCGTTGGTGAAAAAATTTGGTGCTCAGAATGTAGCTCGGAGGATTGAATTTCGAAAGAAATAATTCACAAGACAATGAGAAAAGAGAAAAGATGTGGCAGATGAGGTGGTAAAAAAATTTTTGTGACCATTGAACTTTAGAGATTTTTATATTGGAACTGACACTTGTCTTCTGACCAATGCTGTCATTACTCTGTGAGTCCTAGATTTTGCAGCTACACAGAGTTGTGTAGGAGGATAAAAATAAAAGATACTGGATGTATTTAGAGCTGTCCTTGGCAGTATCAATGTGTTTCTGAAAGGAAAATATAAACCAGAGAGAGGCTGGTCAACATAGTAATCTTTTTTTTGGAATGGAACCTGTATTATATTGGTGACAGGAGCTAGTGACCAAGTCAGAGGAGAATAAGGAGACAGGTCTTTTCTGGAAGTGTGAATAAAGAACCTCCTGTCCTTTGGCAGATGCTCCTCTAGATTGTGACAGATTCTAAATCAAGAACCTAGAAATATGGAAGGATTTCATTACCAGGCCTTGAACATGGGCCATCCCATACCCTTGCATCTTTTAGTGAGCTTGGGTTTCTAAACTGCTTTGAAAACCCCATTTTTTTTTTTTTGCTGACAATATTTGGGGACCCTGTTCCTTGATGGTTCTTTTCTTTGAGTCCTATCAGTCAAGTATCTAGCTTGTGTTTCTTCACTTACTATCTGGTTTTGTTTAAAATACAAAACAAGAGTCTCAAGAATAGTCTTACTTGGATATTAGTAATAAGTTTTTATTTATTGAGGGTAGTTTTGTGCTAAGGCTGTGTTAGATTTAAAAATTAGTGGACTAATTCCTCTTTGTTGTGTTGCTTTTTATTGAAAATAAATGGAACTTTGTATTTGAGTCTCCAACAAGTGTTTGATTGTATTCACAAAAACTTTAAAGGAACTTCATAAAGGAACTGACATTTTTGCTTATTAATTAGATGAATAATCAATAAAGTGCTTCTATTTTGGAACTAATAGACCATTAGAAACATGCTAATTCTTCTGGATGGAGCAATGAGAAGACCTGTGTCAAGGACTGTGAAAGATGGCAAAATAAGGTAAATTGCTGAGAGAAGCCAATCAGGAATAATCAGGAACCATCAGGTGTATAATAGGTGGTGTCATTGTGCCACCCACATCCTCTTTCATGCACATGTACCAACAGGTGGCATGTCACCAACAGGAGTCCTGCAGGCACTTGCTTGAGGCTCTCTCTCTGCTTGAAGTGCTGTGGATTGGTTGGCTTTCAGCTAGTGGTACATGAGAATTGAAGGATATATACCCAGCTTCCTTGCTGACCAGAAAAATGACACAACTGAATACGTATTGGAGCAATACCAATAGTATCCATGAGTTGGATAATGGTTTTCATGCCATCTTTCAAAAGTCCCCAGTAGAAATACATAGTTTCTCACAGTGGTAATTGGGTTATGAATTCATCCTACATAGGCTTCCTTCCCTTGTCTCACATCCCCTCTCCCTCCTAGTATATCCTTGAAACACACAAATTCTGTCTTTAGAGTCTGCTTCTGGGGGATCTCAGCCCAAATCAACATCCTTAACCTTTTTCTGTTCCTCAGTCTGTTGGAAGGTAAACCACTCCCAGTAGTAACTACCTTGCTACTGTGTTAATTCTTCAATGGGGATTGGGAGGGGTTGGGTGGTGGGCATTTGATGTCATCTAGGATATCTATACTGTAGTAAAGCTACCACAGCCTATTGACTTTACAGGACAAATAATTCTAGTTTCGTCAAAGGCGAAAAAGGGTCTGGTTTATTATAACCACACTCAAGAGACATATTTAAACGAAACACATACCAACTTACAGTGCTTCTAATAAACAACTAACTTTCAAAATATCTGGTTTTACAATTTCTCTGGTTTCATTTCTTGGACTGGGAGATACATGTGGGAAAAAAAGTTATGAGAAATATTTTTGGCAACACAGATTTAAGCAAGGAAACTTAGTTGGATCTTAATGGTTAATGGCATTGAGCTATAGTTGCATTGACTCCAAAGATAAGCTGTTCAAGTCCTGAAGTTGGGATATCTCTCCCTTGAGTTGGGTTTTCTTTTTTCGACTTCATGAACCTGGCCTCACTTTTCTGCTTGTGCCTTCGGTGACATCATTTCTTTCTTACTGAAGCCCTTAAATTTTGGGCCTTACTATTCCTCTCCCACCATCCCACCACCTGACCCCATACTTTAGCCTTTGAAATTTTCTAGGCCTTAAATAACTTCTACAACTTTATTAGTGGTAGAAACATTTCCTTTTTGCCCCTTTTTTTCCTGCAGCAATGGGTTTTACTCCTGGTAGTTTTCCTCTTTCTTTTTCCCCTATTCCTTTTAAGCAGAAGCAGTTGAGTTTTAATGCTGCGGCTCTGGCCAGGTAGCTCTGTTGATTTGAGCGTTGTCCCTGTATGCCAAACCTGCAGATTCGATTCCGGGTCAGGGAACACACAAGAATCAACCAATGAATGCATAAATGAATGGAACAATAAATTGATGTTTCTCTCTTTTTCCCTTACTCTCTTTCTAAAATCAATAAATAAAATAAAAAGTGTAAGCTGTTGCTTGAACTGTTCTGATCCTCTCTTATTTTTGGTCTAATGTTATTTGCTGGATCATATGCCCACTTGCCCATGTGAGTAAGATGTATTTAGTTGCATGTAACAGAAAACAACCCAAAGGACTTTAAACAATAAGGGGATTTATATCTTGTGTGTAAATACACAAGATGTAAGAAGTCCTGGGGTAGGGTGGCTTTGGGGTTCTCTTTTTTCTACTTTGTCATTTTTAGCTTATCCTGTGGGTTGTTCCCCTTGCAGTTGAAAGGTGACTGCTACAATTCCAACAGCAGAACAGGATTTCCTCCAGGTATTTTCTTGTATTGGTGGGCAACCTTTCCCAGGAGTCCCCTTAGACTTCTCATTGGCTAGAATTATGGTACATACCCCTTCATAACTGTTCCTAAATGAAATGGACTTGATGGATGTAGATTAGTCAAGGTCTATTCTCCTTGGGCTAATTGTGTAACCTTTCCTGAGAGTGTGGCCTGAAAGGGGAGGGGGAGTACCCAAACAAGCCAGGGAATTAAGGTTTTTATTTTGTTTTTTAAGCATGTTTTCTTATAGCAAGTACAATTTATGCTTCTCTATCAATAATAATCATCACCTTGAAACTTACTCTGCTTATCTTCCTGGTCTTTTCCTCTGAGGGTCTGCAGCTACCACTGTAGTTGTGTCTGTCAATAGGGAGAGTTTTCCCTAGTTCTTTTGATTTTTCTACCTGCAGCTCTCAGTTTTGATAATTTACTGGCACTAGGATCTTTCTGGGGAATATATCAAGTTGTTTTCTGAGCATATCACTTGCCACCTGGGGTTGCCTCAGGCATGAGGTTGTAAGTTCATGTACAAAGATTTGAAGAGCTCATCTGGGCTCTGCAGAGAAGTTTGCTGATGACTATTCTGTCTTATGGTTTATGTATTTAATTGAAAGCTGTTGTCCACAGTGCAGAATTAAGTAAGCCATATTATCTTCTAACATTTTAAAGTAGGCAGTGGAGGCCCTGGCTGGGTATCTCAGTTGATTAGAGTGTCGTCCCAATACACCAAGGTTGCGGGTTCAATCTCCAGTCAGGGCACATACAAGAAGCAACCAGTGAATGCATAAATAAGTGGAACAACACATCGATGTTTTCCTCTCTCAAATTAATAAGTAAAAATAAGTAAATAAATGGGCAGTAAATAAATAAGTGGGAAACTTTTTGAAAATAGTTTATTAATATGTGTTAAGAGTAGTTAAACAAGGAAGCCATTAGACGGGTGGCTTTGGTACCTTCATAAACAAAACCTAAGCCAAAGCCACTGCACTTGAATCTAAGAAAAGGAAATTCGAGAAAAGGAAATTTGGATACATCAACAGTCACTCCAGAGACGTGTACACAGAGGAAAGACCATTTAAGGACACAGGAGAAGATGGCCATCAGCATAGCAAAGAGAGGCTTCAGAAGAAACCAAACCTGTAGACACTTTGAGCTTGGAATTCCATTCTTGAGAAGTGTGAGAAAATAAGTTTCTGTTGTTTAAGTTGCCCAACTGTGCATGGTATCAAATCAATACTGTCAAGTAATTATAGATATTTTTGGGGGCGGTTGGGGGTGGGGATTTGTGCCACTATATGTGTCTGTGTACATATGCATGTGAGTTTTAATCCCCTGGGTGATAAAGAAAGGACAGCTAATACTAGGGAAAACAACTTATGCTGAGTGTAATTTGACCACAGATATTGATGTTGGAGTATTCTGGCACTTGTGCTTCAACCTAGAGACACTCTTGCACATAATGCACTAGTAAGAATATCTACGTGTGTGTGTATTGAACTCATTCCATACCATCATGTGGAAAGTAAATAAACCAATAAGACAAAACAATGCACATTGATAAAGTGAACAAAGAAGAAATATTTTTCAAAGATACTTTTATTGTACCCAAGTAAACCCAAATACACCTTCATACACCAAAATCTATTTTTAGAAGTTACTATTTCAAAAGAAGAGAAAAGAGTGAGGACTTCCAGTCAAGATGGAGGCATAGGTTGTCTCCTCACACAACCACATCAAAATTACAGCTAAACTACAAAATCACCATCACTTGGAATCATCACAAATTGAGTTGAAGGAAGTTTGACAACTACAGAATTAAAGAAACTACATTCATCCAGACCAGTAGGAGGGGCAGAGATGTGGAGACATGGAACAAGCTGGTCCCACACCCACATGTGGTGGTAAAACTAGGGAGGGATATTTTGGGATTGAGGAGTCCCAGCCCCACCCCAGGCTCCCCCAGCCCAGGGTTCCAGTGCCAGGAAGGTAAGTCCCCCTAACTTCGGGATGGAAAAACCAGCAGGGATTGAGTCAGTGGAAGAAGTCCCAAGCTGGAGTCCCAAGCAGTTCCTCTTAAAGAACCCACACATGGACTTACACAAACTCACTTTCTCTGAGCTCCAGCACCAGGGTAGCAGCTTGAAAGGCACCAGTGCCATATGGGGAGGAACTGGAGTGTTTGGCACTGAGGCGAGAACTGGGGTACAGTTTTCTCCCAGACAGAAAAGCAGGCAGGGGGCCATTGTACTTTTCCTGAGCCTTCCCTCCATAGCCTGGAATCCCCAGGTGTTATGTGTGAGACTCCATCAACCTGACTAACACTTTGCTCCACCCTGGAGATCCTCTGAATTTCTGCCCCTCCCAACTTTTGGGTCCACCCAAGCTGTTAATAGTGGCTTTTCCATGTAAATGGCCTGTCTAGGCTCATGCTTCACAACTTAAATTCTCTCAAGCAACATCCAGCCTCAGCTAGCCCACAGGCATCATACGTCTTGCTAATGGCCCCAAGCCTGGCACTAGCAGCAGCCAGCCTAGGTTTACAGCTTGGCTTTGCCTGGGAACTGCCAAGCCCAACACAAGTAGCAGCCATCTGCAGACTGCTCTGTAGCTCATGTAGGGTGGCCCTGGGCAGAACTTGGGTGGGGGCAGAACTTGGCCTGGACAACCCAGGAAACCCCAGAGACTGCCTACCCAGGGGACAGCTACAGACCATGTTGGAGTGACACCACCCTGGCCCTGCACAGCTGATCCTCCACAGAATGGGGAGGTTGGTGGTCAGTGGTTACAGCCAGTCCTTGGAGCTGACTGGCCTGAGTAAATACCTCCTATTGACCTGTCAACAGCAATCAAGGCTCAATTACAACAGGGTTTACTCAGCCCGCACAGAGGGTGTACCTCGAGTACCCAGCTTCAGTGATAGGGGAGGCTGTGTCACTGGACCCTATAGGATACCTACTACAGTAGGCCATGCTACCAAGGCAGGGAGTCATAGAAGCTCTACCTAATACATAGAAACAAATACAGGGAGGCTGGCAAAATGAGACAAACATAGCCCAAATGAAAGATCAGATCGAAACTCCAGAAAAAGAGCTAAACAAAGTGGAGACAAGCAATCTATCAGATTCAGAATTCAAAACACTGGTTGTAAGGATGCTCAAGGAAATTAGTGAGGACCTCAACAGCATAGAAAAGATCTAGTCAGAAATGAAGTATACTCTAACTGAAATCAAGAACGAACAATTTACAGGGAAACAACAGTAGAATGGATGAAGCTGAGAGTCAAATCAGTGATTTGGAACATAAGAAAGCAAAAAACCAATCAGAGCAACAACAATAAAAAATCCAAAAAGACACCCCCCCTCCCAAAAAAAAAACCCATGTATAGTGTAAGCAGCCTCTGAGACAAGTTCAAGAGGTCCAACATACACATCATAGGGGGGCCAGAAGGAGAAGAAAAAGAGCAAGAAATTGGAAATCTATTTGAAAAAAATAATGAAAGAAAACTTCCTTAGTTTGGTGAAGGAAATAGACATGGAAGTTCAGGAAGCACAGAGAGTCCCACACAAGACGGATGTAAAGAGGCCCACTCCAAGATATAATTAAAATGCCAAAGGTTAAAGATAAAGAGAGAATCTTAAAAGCAGCAAGAGAAAAAAGTTAGTTACATACAGGGGAGTTCTCATAAGACTGTCAGCTGATTTCTCAAACTTGGCAGGCCAGAAGGGATTGGCAAGAAATATTCAAAGACATTAAAAGTGAAGAACTACAGCCAAGATTGCTCTATGCAGAAAAGATGTTTAGAATTGAAGGGCAGATAAAGAGCTTCCCAGACAAGGAAAAAACTAAGGGAGTTTATTATCACAACCATCATTATATGAAATGTTAAAGGGACTTACTTTAAGAAAAAGAAAGATTAAAACTATGAACATTAAAATGGCAATAAATACATATCTATCAACAACTGAATCTGAAAAACAAACTAAGCAAAGAAGAACAGAAACAGACTTCCGGCCAAGATGGAGGCATAGGTAGACACACTGTGCCTCCTCGCACAACCAAGATAGGGACAACAACAATTTAGAAACAGAATAACAACCAGAACTGATAGAAAATTGAACTGTTTGGAAGCCGGACAACCAAGAAGTTAAAATAGACCCATTCATTGAGACCGGTAGGAGGGGCGGAGTTGGGCAGCTGCTCGTGGTGTGGAGAGCAGAGAGCTTGAGACTGGGCGTGTAAGGCATCCGGGGCGTGTAAGACTGCAGTGGGTGGACCCTGAGTGCGCAAGCTGCAGCTGGCAGACTCCGGCTGAGGGGTGGCAAACGGCAGACCCAATGAGGTGGGAACTGTGAAGCAAGACACTGTGCGCAACCCAGGATCACAGCGCTGGGAAATAGAGGCTCGGGACATTGATTGAAAACACCTGTGGGGGTTGAGGTGCAGGGAGACTCCCAGCCTCACAGGAGAGGTCCTTAGAAAGTCCCACAGGGTGCACAAGCCCACCCACACGGGAATCGGCACCAGAGGGGCCCAGTTTGCTCAGGGGAAGCGGCAGAAGGGACTAAGGTCCGATGGAGAGCAGAGCAAGCACCATCTCCCTCTCAGACCCCGCCCCCACATACAACATCACAACCCAGCGACTGGGGTGCCCCGCCCTGGTGAACAACTAAGGCTCCGCCCCTCATACGTAACAGGCGCGACCAGACCAAAGGGGAGGAAAAAGATGGCTCAAAGAGAATTTAAAGCCTTAAAACCAGTGCCTTTTAAATTTTTTTTTTGATTTTTTCCCAGTTGGCTTTTTCTAATTTATTTTAATTTTATTTATTTATTTTTAGAGAGGGAAGGGAGGGGGAGAGAGAGAGAAACATCAATGTGTGGTTGCTGGGGGCCATGGCCTGCAACCCAGGCATGTGCCCTAACTGGGAATTGAACCTGCGATGCTTTGGTTCGCAGCCACGCTCTATCCACTGAGCTACGCCAGCCAGGGCTCACAACCAGCACTTTTCAGTGACTGAGAGATAGCCAACCTATCAGATGCACAGTTCAAAGCACTGGTAACCAAGATGATCACAGAATTGGTTGATTTTGGTCACAAATTAGATGAACAAATGCAGGCTACAATAAGAGAAATGAAGGAAAATGCACAGGGAACCAATAGGGATGAAAAAGAAACTGGGACTCAAAACAGTAGAGTGGATCAGAAGAAAGAAAGAAACAAACAGAAAAGAATGGAGAAATAAGAATTCAAAAAAATGAGAAGAAGCTTAGGAACCTCCAGGACATCTTTAAATGTTCCAACATCCAAATTGTAGGGGTACCAGAAGGAGAAGAGGAAAAGCAACAAGTGGAAAAGTTATTTGATCAAATAATAAAGGAGAACTTCCCCAATCTGGCAAAGGAAATAGACTTCTAGGAAGTCTAGGAAGCTGAGAGAGTCCCAAAGAAGTTGGATCCAAGAAGGAACACACCAAGGCACATCATAATTACATTAGCCCAGGTAAAAATAAAGGAGAGAATCCTAGAAGCAGCAAGAGATAAGGAGACACTTACCTACAAAGGAGTTCCCATCAGACTGTCAGCTGATTTCTCAAGAGAGACCTTGCAGGCAAGAAGGGGCTGGAAAGAAATATTCCAAGTCATGAAAGGCAAGGACCTACATCCAGGATTTCTCTATCCAGCAAAGCTTTCATTTAGAATGGAAGGGCAGATAAAGTGCTTCCCAGATAGGGTCAAGTTAAAGGAGTTCATCATCACCAAGCCCTTATTTTATGAAATGTTAAAGGGACTTATCTAAGAAAAAGAAGATAAAAAAACACGTACAGTAAAATGATAGCAAACTCACAATTATTAACAACCACACCTAAAACAAAAACAAAAACTAACTAAGCAAAGAACTAGAACAGGAACATACCCACAGAAATGAAGATCACATGGAGGGTTAGCAACAAGGGAGTGGGAGGAAAAGAGAGGGGGAAAAGGTATGGAGAATAAGTAGCATAGATGGTAGGTAGAAAATAGGGGGAGGGTAAGAATAGTATGGGAAATGTAGAAGCTAAAGAACTTGTGACACATGGACATGGACTAAAGGCAGGGAATGTGGGTGGGAGAGGGTATGCAGGGTGGAGGGGAATGAAGGGGGGAAATGGGACAACTGTAATAGCATAATCAATAAAATATATTTATTTTTTAATTTTAACAATAAAATACATTTAAAAAAAGAAGAACAGAAACAGAATCATGGATACAGAGAGCATTTCGATGATTGCCAGATGGGGGTAGGATAGGGGAATGAGTGAATAGATGAAGGTATTAAGAAGTACAAATAGGTAGTTGCAGAATAGCCATGGTGATATAAAATACGGTATAGGAAATGGAGTAGCCAAAGAAGTTATATGCATGACCCATGGACATGAACAAAGGTGTGGGGATTGTCTGAGGGAATGGGGGTGCTGGGTGGAGAGGGGCAAAAGGGAAAAAATTGGGATACCTGTAATAGCATAATCAATAAATATAATTAAAAAATAGAATGGTTTCCAAGTTTTTAGATTAACCTATCATTTATAATAAAGTGAATTTTATGGATGTGTATATACATATGAAAAACTTAAAAATCTCAAATATGAGCATTAGACTACATCAATGAGTATGTGGTGTTTGTATATATTTGCTTATAATTTGGCATATTTAATGAGTGAAAGGAAAAATATGCATGAAAAATACTCAGTGTTATGGACCTATCCTATCATGTAATCATTCCTTTTTCATGGATACTGAGGTAGTTTTTAGTTCCCAATCAAACCCTCAGAGCTTCAGGAAAAAGGTCAATTTTATGAATTTACAGCATTAGGAAATACAGCATTTCTTCATTTTCTATGTGACAAAGTTATTTTAAGTTTGCCTTCCCATCTTGCTAGAAGGGAAAGAAGTGCCGATGTGTCCCTTGTAGACCTGTTCTCACTTGACTTCAGTTACAGTTTGTAGATTTTCCAGATGCTGGAGGACATGGTGATTACAGAGAAGAGATCATATTTGTCAGTAAAATGCTTTTGTTCAATAGGATTCAGCAGACGTGTTCACTGCCTAATGCCCGTGGTGCTTGGAAACAATCCTTTATTCAGTGAAGTGAGTACAGAAAATAACCACTGTCCACAACACAGAGTAAAACCTTTATTTGGGTTTCCAAGTGGTCTCTCCTTCCCCCCTGCATTAGTCTTGTCTTGAACAGGATGACTCCATTATTTATCATCCTTTAAATTGCACTGATCCTGCCTCCAAAGAAAAGAAGTCTGGACCCAGTTCTGTGAGAATGATGTCATTTCCTTGTGAAAGTGAGCTTTGCGTCATGTGGAGCAGAGCCAAAAATCTTCAGTGAGGCACATCTGGGATCCTGGAGTGTCCTTTTCCTGTGATTAGGACTCAAAAAAGGTTGTAACTTTTCCTGAAAATTTTAGGGTCTGTAGGAGTTGGCCTAAAGGCTTGAGGTTTCTGAGAGTGACCAGAGGGGAGGGAGGAGGGGGATAACGGGGGAAAAAAGGGTAAGGGTCTAGTCAAGGAACACGTATAAAGGACCCATGGACAAAGACAGTGGCAGGGGGAGGATTGAATGTGGGAGTGGGTGGGTAGGGCAGGGAAGAGTAATGGTGGAAAAATGGGGACAACTGTTACTGAACAATAAAAAAAAGTAAAGGCTTGAGGTTTCTACATACTGTTGGTGCAATTGGCCAAGGGGATGAGATGGTTTTCCAGCTGACCTTGTGTGGTGTGTGGCTCAGTGTGTTTCTTTTTGAGGGCCTCATTCTGCAATCAGAACCTGGCAGCACTCATCCCATCATTGCATAATGTAAGATGTGTCCATCTGATCCAGATCCTGTGATTGATGTTTTTTGTGTACAGGATGATGCTGAGAATAGTCTTTCAGCTGTAGTACTTCTGTGACAGTGTGTTCTTTGTGATTCTGGCATTTGTCTTCGCTTTGGGGCCAGAAAGTAGCGTGAATATTGGGGAGGCCCCCTCCTGGAGACAGTGATATCAGCAAGTAGTTTGCAAGTGTCAGAGTATAGGGAGAGTTCTGTCCTCCCGCACAGCCTGCAGGCTTACTTCTGCTGTACTGTGGGTATAGAGATCTTTGGTTCTGAAACCACATGTATTCGAGGAAAAGGGGGAGACATGGACATCCTAAGACAAGCAATTCTGGCTGTTTCTAATACTGTGTAAGACCGGGAGTATTTTATTAATATAGGCCTTAACATCAGCTTAATATCAGGATGGTTATATATATATATATATATATATATATATATATATATATATATATAAACATACAAACCAATTGAGATCATAACACATTCAGCAATAGATTAATTGAAACTGGCTAAAAAAATGCATTTTCCAGAATCCTTCCTCTTTTTAATTATAATAATGGGTTAACAAAGGAGTTCTTTTGACCAGGGTGACATTTTTCTCTTCTTTGATGATCTATGCATAAGAATAGAATATAAGAATCTTATATATACCTGTATAAATCTGAACAAAGGTTAGAAGTCTTTGAGGATTTCTATGCTGACAAACCTATGAATGTGCTTCCTAGTATGAGCATTTAACATATATTAATTAAACAACTATCCCCACAAATTAGGTAGAAGGAGCTCAATGGGGGTGACTTTGTTTCTCAACTGAAGACATTTGACATGTTTATAAATTTTGGGGGGATGTCACAAATGGTGGGAGGGTACGTGGGCAGGGTATCTAGTTGGTAGAGGCCAGGAATGCTGAAAAATATTCTACTAGGCACAGGACAGCCCAATATAGTAAGAATTCTCTGGCCCAACATGACAATAGTGCTATGGTGTAAAAAACCTGACAGTATTTTTAAAATAGGTATCAACTTTCACATTTTCCCACATTTTTGCTGCTGGTGATTTCAAATAGACATGCCACTGACAATTTGATGTGAGAATTCTCCCTTTTGTCTTTACTATCCCCTGCTTTTGCCCCTGGCTGACTGATAATTCAAGTTAGATCAACTCTTTTTCAGCAGCCTTTGAGGAGGCAATATCATAGATATTTAGTGCCACAGACAGAACTTACTTGAATTCTCAATTCCTGAATGCCTGTTTGTTTAGCCAGTACTTTCCTGGTTGCAGTATCAGGGAATTGGTTCCTGTCTATGGCTTGAACTAGGGTGTTTGATTGAGACCTTGTGATGGATGTCTGGTTTTATCTGACTCCTTTTGGTAAGTATTCTAAAGAATAACACAGGAACAAAAGGCAGCTTCTAGGACAGTTTTCACATTTGAACTGGAAACTCAAATTTGAGAAGATAAAGCTGACCATACTTACTCCCTTTGAATCTCCCTGGGATGATACCATGCTTAGAGCAGCAGGGCCAAAGGCCCAGAGATTTGCTTGCTAAGAGCTTGCCCGTCCCAGCCAACTGTGGGACCACATTTATATTTCTGACACTAGGGTGCCTAGAACAAACTGTAACTAGGTCCTAAGATAAGGACTTTTAGTGGAGAATTTAGACACAACGTGAGGAATCATTTTTACTCTCGACAGGACCCGCTGAAGAAATGCAATTGGATCTGTGGGTTATTACCTTGACTGGGAGGCTGATGCTGGCACTGTTCTTGGGCTTGGTCTTTTTAAAAGGACCATTCAGATCCCAATTTTCTCTGTTTTGCTCTGTGTTTTTTTAGAACTTACTATTTTTTAAAGATTTTATTTCTTTATTTTTAGACAGAGGGGAAAGAAGGGAGAAAGAAAGGGAGAGAAACATCAATGTGTGGTTGCCTCTCACATACTCCACACACTGGGGGCCTGGCCCGCAACCCAGGTATGTGTCCTGACTGGGAATCGAACTGGCAACCCTTTGATTCACAGGCTGGCACTCAATCCACTGAGCCACACCAGCCAGGGCCATGTCTTGTTTTGAAGAATTCTCCCATGCCTTTCTTCAAAGGGTACATTCTCTCTAAATCAGGTATCTGGTGAAAATTATTTTTTTCCTCATATAGTTCAAGGAGGACTTGACGTTTCCACTGAAGCTGTGGTGCCTCCCTTTCTAGCTGTACTTTTATCTGACTGCAGTGAAACTTGCCTGTTGGGAACTGCCCTGACTGGTATCAGAAGCTGAAACCCCCACTTAGGCTAAGGCTAAGGGAACGCCCTTGGAACTGTAAGCCAGCAAGGAGATAAAAGCTTATCTTCCTGGCAGGAATGCTGCTTCTGCTGCTTTATTCATGACTGAACCCCGAAAAGCTTGGTCGATTAGCCAAAGACGGGTAAGATTCCCCACGGGGGGAACGACCTAAGACAGGCACGATCACTTTGGGAGGCCCCCCAAAAGAAGGACTTAGGGGTCTGCAGCAAAAGGGGGTGATGGACCCTCGCTCCTCGGCTTTGACATAGCCTGAGTTCTCAGCGTCTGGGAGAAAACTTCCTTATCTCTTGGTTGCCTTAGTTCCTTTGCTCCACCTAAGCCTGAAACAATGACAGGGTGGTGCAGCTCTGTGCTGAGAAGTGTGGATTCCCTGGGGGTGATCAGGCCTAAGAAAGAACATGTAAATTACTGTGAAACCTTCTTTGTTTAGAATGCTCTCCGTTGAATGAGAAGGGTCTTAGGAGGAAGTTAGTTTGTTCCTCAGTCTTACAGCTCTTTGACCCCGACTCAATAGACCGGCAGAGTTCTTTGTTTTCTATAGTTCCTTACTTCCCCCTAATGAGTACTGTACTTTACCTGAATTATTATGCAGAATGAGCCCAATAAAAGCAGGTATGGACTGTAAATCGGCGCACTCCCCACTGGGGGGGTGGCCATTTCGTCCCTACTTCCCCACAGAAACTAGTTTGTCTCTGTGCATGTTTTTTCTCGCGTGTTTATCATCGAGCCATCTGCAGCGTTCCGTGATCACTGCTGGCCGGTGACCCACGTAACACTTGCCCAGTTTGGAGATGCTTCATATTCCTCCTTTCAGTTCCTATGAGATTGGTTTCTTTTTTTCTTCAAGAATTTTTAAATAAGCACTTAACTTAGCTACCTCAGTCATTGTCTTTAAAACTCCCTTTGTTTCATCTTCCACGTGGTCTCTGTTTTTTGGTGAATTTATTACATCCAATTCTAAGCTCCCACCATCCATGTGTTTTCTCCAGGAGCAGAAGTCTGATCTTTCATATTTGACAATGTTAATCCAGAAGTTTGGTCTGGCTTTTTTCTTGGAGTTTTGTAGTATTATTTTATTCTGTGTGTAAATGTATTCCTTCTTGTTTATTCATTTTCTTGATGGATTTTGAAGGATCAGTTACAGTAGCAGCTACTTGACTTTGGATGTCCTCTGACTATACCTTCTATAAATTTAGCTCCTAAAATTGGTCTATGATATAACTTGAGTTAAATTTTATATATGTTGTATACATATATTTTATTGTCTCAGTACCATTTGTTGAAAGATTATCTTTTCCCCATCAAACTTTCTTGGAAAATCAATTTATATGTATGAGTCCATTTCTGCATTCTGTTCTGTTGATCTATTTATTTATCTTTATCCCAATTGTATTGTTTTGGTCATCGTGACTTTATATTAAATCTTGAGATCAGATAGGTTAAGTTCTCCAACTTTGTTCTTCCTTTTCAAAACCAGTTGGATATAAAACAGGCATTTCTCAACCTTGGCTCTGTTGTCATTTTGTACAAGATCACTCTATGGGAGCTGTCTAGACCATGTAGGATGTTTAGCAGCATCCTGTTCTCTATCTACTAGATGCCAGTAGCATCCTTCCCTGCCATTACAATTAAAAATGTCTAGAATTTCAGCATCATGGCTGTAAAAGATGTCCCTTGTTTTAGTCCTTCCAAACGATAAAAATCTGGCGCACATCCATGGGCAAAAGTGCCTTTGTGGGAGCTGTGGGATCCGGCACCATATGCTAAGAGACTCAGGAGGAGTCTCACACAACTGTGCATCAGGTAATAGGCAGACTGACTGTGGTCCTGTTGTGGACATTGCAGTGGCCTGTGAAGCAGCCCCAGTTCCTCTTGGCTGCAGTCCAGGTGCCTCTGAAAACACTATGAGAGAGCCTTTGTGGAAATCCAAGCTTCCAGAGCAGAAGTTCCAGCACACTATTGGAACAAAAGATAAAAAAATTTACAAGTTTGGATGCACTGGAGTGGATAAGAATAGCTTGACTTTACCCATATCACTCCTTCCCCAAGGCAGCAGTTTAGGGCCAAGAGATATTTGTTAGGCCTGTGCTTTCTCCCATGGGGAAAAAGGAGGGTGTATGAGTGAGCACTTGCTTCTCCAGCTGTGTGAGATGTTTCCAAAGAGGCTCATTCTCTCCTGCCCCATCCAGAGGACAAAATCATAAGCCAAGTGACTGGGAGGTGGAAAGAGTCTGGGAGAGAGGCAGATGGGACTGTTGGAGGGCATTAAAGGGATGCAGATCTCATAACTACATCCCAGACTACATCTACAGGCCCGACCATGAGCTGCTAGAAATGCCTCACTGCAGATCCCCCCTAGCTGGCCCAGGTGGACCCCCAGTGCTCTGCATGCCTTGCCCACACACACTATGCAGAGCAGTTTTAGGTTTATGGAAAAACTGAGCATAAAGTACAAAGAGTTTTTGTAAACACACAGTTTATAACATACAGTTTCCTCTATAATTGACCTCTTGCATTAGAGTGGTACATTTCTTAAAAATGATGAGCAAATATTGACACACGATCAATAATGAGTCCAGTAGCTCCCCCACGTTCCTTTCCTTGCACTGTGGCCGGGGATCTCTTTGAAGACAGTAATCTGGAGACAATTGTAGGGCTGACCTTGCTTGTTTCCTGTTTCACAGAACCACTTTCCTTTATTGTCTGTTTTCCACTGTCTTTCATACCACTGTGTGGTTATTTTGTCCATTTTTTTTTTCCTGGGGGGTGGGAAAATTGGTTCCCTGCTATTTATTCCTTCATGGCCGGAAGTTAAGGTCCTGTTCCGTAACAGGATTATTTTGTTACCGTATTTTTAGGTCTACCACTAGGTGGCAGTATTATACAGCAAAGATGCTGTTCAGAAAAGGCACTGCACAAAACATTTCTAGGTTCTTTTAAAAGATATATGAAGTCATATATTTGGGGAAGATGGCGTCCCCCAAACTGAATGGGCAACCACAGCGGCTTGGGAAAGTGAATTTCATAACCAGAAGGGGAAGCTGGAGAATTGAGCATGTTAATGCAACCCTGGACCTGATGAAGGGGAGTATGACTGACTGTACAACAAAGACTTTTCATCCATGTGTCATTGTTAGGGTCAGAGATCTAATAAAACTATTAATAATGAGTGTTTCATTTGAATAGTATGAAATCATCAGGATGATGTTGCATGTGACATCAATAAAATAGGTTCGCCAAAACCTTAATCATTATATTTTCTCAACTCTTGTTTAATCATTAAGGTTTTTCTTAAAAAGATTTTTAATTTATTTTTAGAGAGAGGGGCAGGAAAGGAGAAAGAGAGGAAGAGAAACATCAATGTGTGGTTGCCTCTGACTGGGAGTCAAACCGGAGACCCATTGGTTCGCAGCCCATGCTCAATCCACTGAATTACACCAGCCAGGGCTAATCATTAAGGTTTTAATATTATAAATTGATGAATATTCTCCATAGTATTTAGGACTATTTTTCAAACCTCTTTTAAGCCTCTAAAAGGCCCAATGACTGAAACTGTGTTTCCCTGAAACATAATGTAAGTTTGTTCAGAGTACCAATGCTTTCAATGTAGATCCTTTGGGACCAGTAAGCCATTGTCTTCTTTTTACAAATCTGTCTTTATTTCTTACTAAAGAGCCTGTTTTAATGATGTCACATGTAACATCATCTGGAAGAATTTATACTGTTCAAATGAAATACTCCCCTTGTGCACTGTTGGTGGGAATGCAGATTGGTGTAGCCACTGTGGAAAGCAGTATGTAGTTTTGTCAAAAAACTAAAAATGGAACTGCCTTATGGCCCAGTGATTCCACTTCTGAGAATATATCTGAAAGAATGTATGCATCCTTATGTTCATTGCAGTGTTGTTTACAGTAGCCAAGATTTGGAAGCAGCCCAAGTGCCCAACAGTAGAGGAGTGGTTAAAAAAAAAGCTGTGGTACATTTACACAATGGAGTACTACTCAGCTGTAAGAGGAAGGAAATCTTACCCTTTTTGACAGTATAAATGGACCTAGAGGGTATTATGCTAAGTGAAATAAG